ATGCAAGGGCAGGAAGGTGGTGGGATTTTTCTTCTTTTGCCCTGTTTGCTCTCATTGTTTGTGACCACCATAAACAGCTGCCCCTCAGCCACACCATCCTGCCTTGGAGCCAGCTGAGTATGGACTGAAACTTCCAAAAATGTAAGCTAAATAAACCATGCCTTGCTTCACTTTGGACATTTTGTCTCAACGATGAGAAAAAGTAACTGAGACAGAATTTAGTAGCACAGGAGTAGGGTCATTGCTGTGACTATACCTGACCATGTGGTTCAAGAGCCTTTGGGGATGGTTTGTGGGAAGAATTTGGAAAAGTTCAGAGATGTCACCTGAAACAGTGGTGCTGGAACAGCTTAGGCTGCTCTGTATGGGTGATTCTGGTCAGAGCTCAGGAGACAATAAGGCTAATAGAAAGTCTTCTGCTAAAGATGAGACTCAGGAAGTTTCTGCTGAAAAGAATGATTACATTGGTTGCTGGACTCTAGATGATGAGTGTTATGGTGGGGCAGAAAGTTTTTCTGCATTTTGCTCCTGTCCTGAGACTGAGGTTAAGGGTGGCAGACTGATTAATCTGGCAGAAGAAATTTCAGGGTAGTCAAATGTTGAGGCAGTGGCATGGCTACTGTTGGGGGCTTTTAGCCAGATTTATGTTGTGAACCAAGAGCAAAGAGCCCAGCATGGAGATTTAAAATGTTGTGAGTTTGACCCAAAAGAAAGCTCTAGTAAAGCTGTAGGCTGCAAAGATAGAGGGGAGGTCTCCACTGCTGAGAAGGAAGAGGAAAATAAAAAAGGTAGCCTGGGGGCATAACAGGAAATGATGGTGGATCTCCACCCTTTGTAGCCTCAAAGACTTTGCTTGCAGGAGAAAGCAGCATAGCACCATGTTCCAGAATGGCAGTGGAAGTCAGGAGATTCCAAAATGGCAGCAGCCCTACCAGGTTCCAGAATAGCAGCAACACAGAGAATCTGTTCTTCCAATCAGGTTCAGAGTGCTCAGTGATCCAGGCATTCAATCCCTAAGGCCAAGAGAGGAAACCTTGGCTACTGCTCCAGCTGGCTGCACACCATGTTAGCATTCACGTGGTTTTAGGTGCATAGAGAATGCACATGTTCTAAGGGTAAGACAGCTTCCACCCTAATTTCAAAGGGCCTGGGAGGCCAGGAAGTGTGCCCCTTTGAGGGCAGTGTGTGAAGCTGTGAGTATGAAACCAAAGGTGCAACGGAGAACCTAGAAGTTTGGAAAAGCCAGGAACATGAATTATTTAAGGAAAGCTGCAAGGATTGAGCAGAGTGGACCTAAGAGAGAAGCCATGGGAACTGTAATCACCAGAAGTACCATGGGGGTGGAGTCACTCAAACCCTTTGGATTGCTTTAGATGCTGGATGTGGAACTCCAGGATTTAATGTTTGCCTTTCTGGGTTTTGGACTTCCTTTGGTCCTAATTCTTTGTATCCCCATTTGTACCCTTTGAATGGTGATGTTTATCTTGGAAGTGTTTATCCTTGTTTCATTTGTACAGGTGCTTGCAGCAAAGAGTTGGCCTTAGATCTTGAAAGAGACTTGCAACTTGGACTTTTCAGCAATGCTGGAACTGTTAGGACTTCAGAAGCACCAAAAGATGGACTAAAGTTTTTTGCAAAAAGGATGTGCATGAGTCTTTGGGGGCCAGGGGTGGAATGTTATGGTTTGTGTTTGGATGCCCCACCCAAGCCTCATGCAGCCATGGAGGTGGCTGAATCTAGCATTTGTGATTGTCTAGCACTGGGATTAGTCCTGTACATGTTGTGCTACAGCTGCTCAGGGGCAGAGCCATCATACAACATAATGGCAGGGCGGAGGCATGATTTTCTCTCTTTTGCTCTTTTCACTGTTGTTGCTTGTGGCTGCCATAAAGGCTGCCCCTCAGCCATGCCGCCCATCAGCTGAGTATGGGCTGAAGCCTCTGAAAACTGTAAGCTAAATAAACCTTGCCTTGCTTCACTTTGGGCATCACGTATTTTGGCTCAACAATGAGATAAAAGTAACCAAGACATTGTATTTCCAACAATAACATTTCAAACATAATTCTAAGGCAACTTAAATCTTAATATGAGACATGCACACATTTTTTCCAAGTAAAAAAAGGTGATGACAAATGATTACAGAACTGTGAAAAATCACAAAAAAATTGTAAAGGTCAATGTGACAGAAGAAGAAAAAATTTGCCTAAGCAATCTCAAATTTAAGGAGGATAATAATGTCATGAAATCAGTAACGAATATACCAGATTAACCATAATGGTATAAGTCACTGCACCCTTCCCTAAGCCTGTGCAGCAACTCTGTGTCCAGTGTCCACAGGAGACACATGAGGGATTTCCATGGAACCCCTCCTCCTCCCCCAGGGCAGTTGGTAGTGGCCACCAAAGACCTATAGTCTCCCCAGTTTCAGAGTGCTGACCTCTTCAGGTTAAGTTTCAAAACATTGCTTTTCATCTAAAAAACTGCCAAGTTAAAAATATTTGGTTTTTTTCCTCCTAAGTTTATACAGTGGTCACAAATACAAAGTTATTTTAGGACTCCACCCACATTTTAAAATTTATAATATTTGTGTTTACAGACTCCCAGACCCCAAGGGCACCCAGGGGATTGGTACTGCCCACTGGTTGTTTAAAATGGTCCACGGCATCTGAGGCTTTTGAACTGAAACTATGACTCATCTCAAATACTTGTGTACCCCACAACTGCTACAAGACCTTGTTAATTATATTTATAGAATTGTAGCATGGTCTAAGGTTAATGAATCACAAGTATACTATTCATTATCATTACTGTGTCTCACTTTCTCTTGTATTAACATACTCTGTACTTCTTATACCAATTATGCATCCTCAGAAAGAGGTAGGAAAATGGGTGTTTTAGGACAGAGGCTTTTCTTCTTCCATGAAGACAAAACTGTCTGGAACTCTCTCCATTTAGCTAATTATACAAGGAAAGGTTCTCCAGCAGAATGCCACACCCTCCTTCCCCAGCCTCAGGAGAGAGCACAGTTGTGTATTTCTTATTACTGATCAAAAGCCAGCTTTGCTTATGAAACTGCCTCCAGTCTCCAAGGACACTGTACATTCCCCACAAAGATGGCTACGCCTTAACCTGGCCAACTCACAAATAACAGAACCAAGAAACACCCAGCCTCTAGAACCGCAGAACATACTCTTTTATGCTGAAGATAATTAAGTAGGATGTTCAGGTCAAGGGAGAAAAGTGCACAGTGAGGAAGTCAAAAGCTCTCTTTAAATTATTCTGGGACATTAAATATTGCATTTCTACTGTAACATTCATCACATTTTTCCAACACATTGAACTGCATTTTTTAACCAAAAAAATGATTTAGATTTTGGGAAACTGGTCAGAATGACCCATGATGGACCACTTACTTTCACCACCAATAGTATAATTTATTTAAAATTGGAATTGTAATAATACTATTGGATAATATAACTAGAAAAATAAAATTAAACACATGAAAGTAAGATCTAAGAGATAGAACAATAAAGCAAATGACAGTTAAAATGACACACACACACACATATAATATATAAAACAAATCAAAAAAATGTCAGTAGAAACATATGAACAATAAAGTAAAAATTAGTACCCTAAACTGGGCATAGTGGCACATGCCTATAATCTCAGTGCTAGGAGAAAATGAGACAAGAGGATCTCAAGTTCAAGCCTAGCCATGGCTCAGTTTCACCAACTCAGGGGAACAATGCCAAAAGATAAAACATAAAAATTATTTAGACTTGAGTATGTTGCTTCATGAAAAGGTCCTGGGTTCAACCCCAGTCCAAAACCAAAAAAGAATTAAAAATTAAATTAGTCAGTACATGTTACAATTTGTGTCCCCCAAAGACTCATGCAGTCGTAGGACCCTTTCAGAGATGGTTAAATCCACAGAGTGTGGTTGATTGGTGGTGTAGGGCTGGGATAATGGGTGAGTAACGCTGGGTCAGTCCACTGATTGGACTGGCACCACCCTAATCCCAGGATAAGGGACAGAACATACAATACAGACACAGAAAGAGGCTCGTCTTCTCCCTTGTTGCTTCTGCTGTCTTCGGCCACCGTGAACTGTTGCCCTCTGCCATGTACCACCCTTGGAGCCAGCCAAACATGGACTGAAACCTCTACACACTGTGAGCTAAATAAACTTCTCCCCCTGTAATTTTAGGTGTTGGGTATTTTGTCTCAGCAATGAGAGAAAAGTAACTAAGACAGTACCCTATAGAGACAAGATTTTAAATAGCCAAGGAAGGACCTCTTTTAAGTTTGCAACTGGTTTTAAGACTAAGGCTAGACAGGATCTGAATGGAAGGGTTAAAGATAAACTGAATTCGAGTTCTTGTGTCCTGGAGAAAGAAATAAGATACATGCATTTGGTTTCTGAAATTAAGATAAAAATGTAAACTTCTGAACAAACAACGATGTACACTTTTCTTAGTACAAAAATAAATTCAGTTCCACCCTTCTACTCATCTCCAGAGTCACAGAGCACTGTTTTCCAGGCCACTGTTAAAAGCTATCCTGTGTTCTCATAAAGCTATGCTGAAGTCCCAACCCCTAGGGCCCCAGACTGTCGCCATACATGGAGATGAAGTCCTTGTAGGTGTCATTAGTTAAGTTGTGTGGGATGAAGGACTGATGCCTTTCTAAGCGGAGGGGCCTCCAGACACAGGGACAGATACCAGAAGGATGCCAGGTGCCCCTGGAGGCAGAAATATGAGTGACGTCCCTACAAGCCAATGGTGGTCAAGTACCAAGCCTCCTGAGAACAAGGAAGAATCCTGCCCAGAGTCTCAGAGGGACCCCAGCCCGCAGACACCTCCGCCTCTTGTGGTCCCATGATACAGCTGCCGTAGGCATCGCACACAGACACTGCATTTTCTTACAAAGCCACAGGAGAAATCTAAGCAAGGGACAGTGTTAGACTTTGAGTAAAGACAGTGCCAGTGTGACCTCACCTGCTACGTAGTCGCCAAACCCAATGGTTGTCAGGGTGATGACCACAAAATAAATGGCATCCAGGGCACTCCAGCCTTCGATGTGCTTAAATATGATTGCAGGCAGGGCCACAAAGAGAACACAGCCGAACAGGATGAAGATGATGGTGGAGATGATGCGGATCTTGGTCTGACTGACATTCCATTTCTAGAAAGGGGCGAGAGACAGCAGTCGATTACCGCAGGCTTGCGGGGCTAACTATTCCATGCTATCAGAAGGTGACAGTGATGCTTTATCTCCTTCTACCCCTACTTGGTCATCTTTATTTATCAAGTGTAAATATGACATAAATAACTCAAAACCGCCAAGATTAATAATAATAGTACTTTGCCACTAAATAGCTTTGCAACAAGTAAAATATTTTTCAAAATAATTTCAAAACCACCTTTTCTCTGGGAAGATGATTTCAGATACACATCATTATTTGTGTGACTGAACTACTTTTTAACAATTTCCACCCTACAGGCATACAGTTGATTGAATACTAAACACAATTTATAAATACTTGAGGTTAGAGAGAATGAAAACAGGAACTACATATTTATCAATATTAATTATAAACACTGGTAAACATTAATTATGACACAAATTAAATTAAAATATAGAATTAATGCCATTTATTAGCATATAACATTAACAAAGTCTGCAGTCTGACTCCCACATGAGCCAGGAAAATTGTCTCACTAAAGTAGGAAAAATGCATATTTTATGACAGAAGATGATTTTTTTTTTTTTTTTACAGACAGAGCCTCACTAAGCCACTGGCTTGATCCTGCAATCTTCCTGCCTCAGCCTTCTATAGTGCTGAGATTACTGGCATGTGCCAACCGTACATGGCTGGAGCTTGTCTTCTTATATAGAGTTACAAATGTATGAAATTGCTCCTCTGAACCATCATCTGTTGATCTCAACTGTACAATCAGCAAATCTATGAGCCCCACAGGTGAGGATAAGCCTTCAACAATCCGGAGCCCTATCTGCTCCCAGACCTGCAGCATCTTTACTGCCTCTGACAGTAATAAGCCATCTCCACAATGTGACGAGAAGTGACGTCAGCCTGTGCGCTGTCTACCTGAACTCGGTTTCCAAGGGCTGTAAATCTCTGGCTGGCCCTGTCTTGTGTTCTGCAAAAAGTATAGGTCACATCCTGCGCCAGGAAAATCACTAACTGTTACAGCTTGGAAACGTGTTGGAGATGCAGCTCTATGAGACCACAGGAAGGACAAAGGTGATGGGGTCTCTCTAGTCTGCCTTCCTCACCACCTATGTAAGAGTAAACAGTTCGTGTTCGGCGAGCTTTTGGAATGGTGCTTTGGCATCAAACACTGAATTGTGAGCACTGCCGTGGTATCAGCACAAGGACGATCTTTCTTACAGCAGCAACATACAGGTCACTGAGAAAACATTGGTCAGCACTACGCAGGCAGCCAAAAGGTGCTGGGTGAAGGAACAAACAACTTGGAGTGACCGAGCCACCAAGCTGTCCTCTTGATGAATATAAACCCAGGATGCTTTAGTATCTTCTAAGGAAAGTGCCTTTCCCTCATAAAGGAGCAAAAGTCCTGTTTTGGACCAACTAGGTCTTATTCTACTCTTAACAGGGAAAGTATCGGATGTTAAATATGAAACACGGTTAATGCTAAAACTGGAACAGTAATTTAAATGCAGAAACAATATTTAGTAGTTTTAATTTACCAGTGGAGTTAAGTATGAATATTTTGGGAATGTGAAAATATAACATATTGAATAATAAATGAAATTTATTTAGAACAGTGGTGTAAGTAGAAACAAATGATTTATAATTAAATGTTGGAACACCAATAGTTCCTTTCTCCATACTTTTTTTATAATCATAGGCATATTCTTTTACTTGAAACAAGAATAAAAATACTTTTATTTTATTGATTTTTTTTTTTTTTTTTTTTTTTTTTTTTTTTTTTTTTGGTACCGGGTATTGAACTCACAACCTCACACTTACCAGGCAAAGTGCTTATGCTGCTGAGCTAAATCCCCAGCCCTTGATCTTTGTTCTGTTGCATATAAAACTTGCTTGGCTTGTACTGAATGACAGTTCTTAGACACTTTTCTATCAGTGGCATTTCTGAGTTCAGTTATATGATCACCACCCTGGCAGCTGCTATTTATTATGACCTCCTCCCCAAAGGGGCTACATAAATTTACAATGACATAATCAATGAAAAAGGTGCCAGAGGAATCATTTTTAAATAATAAAATACTGTCAGTCATTTGCTCCCTATGTGCAGGCACCATCAAGGCTGTGGCCCAGCCCAAGCCTCAGGCCTCGTGATACCACCATCCCTGACATGCAGGACGTCTGATGCTGGAGGAAAACCAGCTAGTTCACGAGAACACAGGTAGATGACAGCTATGAAGCTTGAACCTAAGATTTCAGATTTTTTTTCTGTATGCTTTTGCATTTTTCTCAAAATAAGTAATAATTTACTCACCAGATAAGCATAAAATAAAGTGCAATGACTTGCATAGTAATAGAGATGCATATAAACTGTGGTGGAAACCCTGTAACTGAACCTCTCGGCTCTACCACAGGTATAATATTTGAAAATTAAAGAATAAATACATTTAGATAAACATCTACGGTACTCACAGTAAACGTGTCTTCCACTTTGGCAATTCCCTTTCCAAAGATGGTCCCCAGTTGATCTCCAACTCCAGCCAGCAGAAAACCAAAGAGAGGAATTCCCAGTAAGGCATAAATGATACAGAATATTTTCCCGCCTTCTGTACGTGGTGAGATGTTTCCAAATCCTAGAAAAAGAAAAACAAAAACCATTCACTTCTTTGTAAAGGAGCAATCTGAATATCTAACTTCCAGATTGATCATCACAGATTTCAACCAGCTCATAATCTTTTGATAATATTTAATATAAAACACACTTCCAAGGAACTGTTTCATTAATATACAAAGTACAGCTACTGTCCCAATTAAACTTTAATAAAACAGTGACACCTGAGGCGCTACTGTACGCAGTAAAATCAAATTTTCATCCAATCAGCTTCTCTCTCACCAGCACTGATGACCCCATTGGTTATTCCAGCTTTCCCTGGCATTTAGAGTGCATTGGAAAGAATGGGTTGCTTTAATTGAAGAGTATTCAAACACGCTTACATTATTTAAATATTAAAGTTGTAAATGTCTTTAACTTTTTATTCAAGCATGCTCCAAAAAACACTAAGTGAGAACTTTTATCTTAAGTTCTGAAACTTCTGAAGCCCTTCCAGTTTTGTGCAAGGCTGTCTGCTTCTTAGCATCCAGGCAATGGGCCTTTGCTGACTGGGCAGTAACAGGAATATGCCCCTCACACAAGGGTAAAGAAACCCACAAGCTGCCTCTTTGCTAGACAATCCCCTCACTGCTCTTCAGTTTAAATTAATCAGAAACTTTAATTCTAATTTTATTTTATACTAACAGATGGGTAAGTGTTTTGAGATTGGCTTTGGATTGTTGTTTCCTAATTTTTTGAGTATTTTAATCAGAAATTACAGCCTGTAGGATTTTTGCCTTTTGAAATCTAGTGAGATTTTCTTTGCAGATTTACCATGGCTCCATTCTGTAATTGTTTTACCATTATTTGAAAAGAATCTGGGTGCTTTGTTAAGATACAGGGATAGCTTATTTATTTATTTATTTGGTACCGGGGATTGAACTCATGACTCAAGCTTGCCAGGCAGGCTCTTATGCTGCTGAGCTAAATCCCCGGCCCTACGTATTTATATTTGGCTATCTTTAATCCATACTTTTTTTTCTCCAAAACATTTTTACCCTTTGATTCTTTCTTCTCAGTCACTTTGATCTACTGTTAGTTAATCCATCTGCTAAGGGATTATTTTCAAAGTATCTGACAGTCAGGAACTTTTTCCCATGATCCTGTTCCATGTCATGATAGTAGCAATCACATGCCTGTCCTTGTTTCTGAGTGCTGTGTCCTGCACTTTCTGTAAGTAGGTGAAGTTTTTAAGCAACAGAGCAGTCTTGGCCATATTTCCATACTTGAAAGCACAATACATTGTTGGCTTTGTTAGCATTTGCAGGTGAAAGATCCTTTTCAGCCCCAATGGACTCTTAGTTTGAACTCTGGTATAGGGCAGATTCTGGTCCAAGGCACTGGAGCACCTGTGTTGGTCTCTATGACCCTTAGGAAGTGAGCTCTTCACACAATCTCCACACGGTGACAGGTTCTCCCAGTTCTTGGTGACAGCTCCTAGTTCCCAGCCACCCTTTGCTTCTCTGGCCCAGTGCCTGCTCTGGAAATATCAGTACTCTGGCTGATCTTTGTCTCAGCATCTCTTCACAATTTCATTCCAGAGCTAAAGACTGGAGACTGCTACTGTAAAGTTATGAATAGCAGTTCCACAGAACTTAATTTTCAGGCTGACTATCCACCTTTGCTTCTAATTTTGATGGCTTTATAAGATTCCCTTAGAAAAATGTTCCTTTTGGAATCCTCAGTTTTGCTTCTATATGGCTTCCTTACTTCCAAAAGATTTCACTGTCATTCTGAATCTACAAGCATCATGTCATCCTGTAAATCCTTTTGCACGGTGATGCCTTCAAAACACCTTCCCTGCCTTCAAACAATGAGAATTTTTAAACTATTATTTTATGCTTTCTGTCGCTTCAGTGCAACATTTTGCCCAGGTAAGGTAAGTGCATGCACCATGGCTTGAATGTAGATGTCCCCGCCAAAGCTTCATGAGGTCACAGGTGGGGCTTTGGGATGCAGCCAGATTTAGTGTATGTGATGCTGGGATTGAGGGTGCCCCATCCTGAGTGCGGGTGGCACCAATCAACAGGTGTGTAGATCGGCTGGAATAGAAAGGAACAGAAGGAAGGGAGGCCTGCTGCCTGCTGCTTTGCCGTCTCCTGCCTGTCCTGCTGTGACTGTTTCTCCTCTGTCATGCCCCTCCGACAAGCCACCAGCCTTGGGGCCAGTCAACTATGAACTGAAACCTCTACAAACATGAGCTGAAATAAACCTTTCTTCTTCTCTGGTCTCATCCACAAGTAACTAAGACAGCATGTTTACATCACACAAGGAATTAAATCTGTGAATTTACCAGATGTTCAGTATTGATAATCTCATTAAAAATGCACATATTTATTCTAAAATATGCAAACCATGGTTTTTTTTTAAAGCATCTTATTTTAGAGTCTAAAACTGACCAATAGAAACATCAGTTAGGGTAGAACTATAGTAAGAATTGGCAATGTATTATTCCTGGTTCCATCACTCAGTTATATGACCTTGGGCAAATTATTTCCCTGCCTGTTAAAAAGGCATATTGCTATTAAGCATTTTTTGAGTTGTAACTCAGTAAGCTACTACATGAAAAGCACTTAGGAAAGTCCGTTGTACCCTGTGTCCAATATCTTCCAGGTACCACATGATTATGATAATTACTATTAGTACCATCAGTAGAATATTACTACTGTTGAAGTACTCGGTCCTATCAGTATACAAACCACTGGACATGAAGATTAACAGCGCATGGTTACATAGTGTTCTCTGCTATATTCTGTATATGTGGAGGTGCCATTCTTGACAAAGAACACTGGTGAAAAGCATAAAGTGACTCTTCACATATGAAGATTGACGGATTGGGGTGTTTATTCTGAAGAAAAGAAGACAGAGCAGAAGAGGTAAACTACTTGATTCCAATCACTTGGAGAGTCAAAACATAAAAAAGAATCAGACCCAACATTCTTTAAGGCAAAGGACAAAGGCAAAGGGTGAGAACTACACAGTGAATTCCTGCCCGGGTCACTGCAGCTACAACCAAACAACTGGCTGCATACGTTAGACAGAGGTCAGGTCATCACTTGCTGTGCCTAACACTTTGGACTGACGGTACAGGGCATATGTGTGCATGTCATAGTAAGGACAAAGTCCCTAATATTTGCTTTGGCCATGAACTATAAGTACTCACTTATGCATTCAAAAATTCAAACCTATGGCTTGAACATTTACTTGTCAGGCACAATCCTAAAAACCAAGGATGCAAGTGTGAAACAGATCTCATTTGTCAGAAGGAACAATGGTCAGAGATTGATACACACACACAGACACACACACACACACAAGCACAGGGTGCCCTCAGTGTCTGTGCATTTAGGAGAATGAGGGGATCTGCACACAGGATCTGATCACCCGCCGCTGTGATCAGAAGCTAAGTGGGGTCACCACGGCACAGAGAGAAGGAGGGCTCCTCATGACCGGGCTGAGGCACCGCAGGAGGGAGAGCTCTTAGAGGAAACAGAGCCTGGCATTCAGATAAACAAACAACTTCAAAGGACAGGAATGTCTCTGTCCTTTTCTTGTCACAGGGACACAACACCCAACACCTGTCTTAAAGTCGGAAAGATGCATTTTGGAGCCTGGCTGGGTTTTAGAGGATTCAGCCCCTATCTTGCTATCTCCAAAAGCAGGAAGGGTATGGAAGAAGGGTCTGTGGAGGAAGCTGCCCATCTCACAGCAACCAGGGAGCCAAGGGTAGAGGAGCCCAGGGGTGGGACACAAACTTCCAAATCACACTCCCAGTGACTGGTGTCTTCTGACCGGACTCCACCTCTTAACAGCAAGGTAGCCTGGGATTCATCAGCGAAGGAGTCAGCACCTCTATGCTTCCATCACCTTCCATTCCGAAGGCCCCGCCCTGAACACAGGAGGCCTGGGCATGTGGCACACTCTGGATCTCAAGCCTCACAGAGAACGCGTGAGACCAATGAACAGAGGCTGCGTTCGGAAGAATCGCATTCATACTGAAAACTTTGGCTTTTTTGTACAAGCTTCAGAGAGCCACCAAAAGACTTCAGCTGAGCAGAAAAGGACCTGATTTGACATTCTGAAAGTTTCTTTTGGCCAGAAAGAGGAAAATGTGAGTAAAGAGGCAAAAGGAAATCTGTCAGGCTTAGAGTCCAGCATGGGCAATATTGCTCTTGGGTAGATGCTCTGAAGACTGCCCAGGTATGACAAGGCCTGAAGCAGGATCAAGGAGGCTAAAGGCCATGGGTGAAAGGTTTGACCCCAGCGTGGCACAATGGGGCGGTGTGAAGTAAAGCCTGGTGGGACACTGGGGGTGTACTTGGAGGAGAGTTTGGGACCCTCATTTCTTCTTGCCTTCTTGTTGTTTATGAAGGTAAGCAGTTTTGCTACACACTCCCTGATACTGCCATCTTGGTACCCAGAGGACCAGAGACCCCAAATCACTGGCCAACTTGAGCTTGGAATAGAGCATCCAAAACAGTGGGCCAAAATAAGCCTTTTCTCTAAGGTTTCTCTGAGGCATTTCATTATAGTAAAGTGACGCTGACTAATCCAGTAAGGAACATGCAGGTGTGGGATAGTTGGTTTTGATATGCCAGAGGAATAACCAAAAAAAAATCCACTGCATATCCCATGCATGAGTCTAAATCCAAGAGACAGCTGGGCTGGAGACACAGATTAGTGGTAAATGAAACACTCAGCAAGAACGTATAAACCCAGGAGAGGAGAGAGAGACAGGTGTGGTGCATGCCTGTAACCCCAGTGTACCAGGAGGCTAAGGCAGGAGACTGTCAAGTTTGAGGCACATCTGGATAATCTGGCAACTTAGAAGATTCTGTCTCAGAAGAAAAACTAAAAAGAAGAAAGAGCTAGGGATGTAGAGTCTTTACAAGGTGTGATCAAAACTCTGATGAATACTGTTGCCAAGTATCAACCAATACAAAAGTGGGCTTGTAAAAACACTGGATGTGTCCCCATAACCTT